CGGCGGGGCTGGGGCCGGGCGTAGGGCCGGCCGCTGGGCGTGTGGCGGGCGCCTCCGTAGGGAGGCCCGGGGGCCTCCTGTAGCGGAGGTCTCCCTCACCTCTGCCGTGGGCGAGGGCGGGAGTCAGCGGGCGATCGCGCACCTGCAGCTGGGCTGGCTTCAGGTGCGGGTGTTTCGGCACTGCGGCTGGGTCAGAGGCTGCCCGCTGGAAGCAGCTCATTGCCGATTGGAGCTGTAATTGATGATTTATCATTGCGAAATCGAGGCGGTCTTATTCGCATTGCAGTAAGGAGTATAAAAAGTCAAAAGTGGCAGTAGCTGGCACGAAAAAATGTATATGTGTATATCAATGTATATCAAAAGGCCTGTTTAGCTAAAAGTTGCCACATTTCTTATTTTTCCTTTCTTTGTTTTGTGACTTTTCTGAGCAGAACTGTGCTTTGAAAAGCTGTTCGGCTAAGCAGTCTTCGTCATTTCTTATGAACTTAGCCGGGAGACTTAATGGGTTTTCAAAAGTGAAACAAGGTGGAGATGGCCAGCTCAGGAAATATTGTAATAACAGATCTTTCTTTCAAATTAAATATTTTTCTTACAGACTTGGTAAAATGCAAAATGACATAAAAATTAATCTAAATTATCCTTTCCCACAGAAAACCAAGGAGCAGCAGGACTCTTTAACAACTGTTTCAAAACAGGAAGCAATGCGGTTAAACATTTTAATACTTCACCTCAGGTGCAGGGGTGCCAGAGCATACCTAGAAATGGAAAGTGTGTTATGATTTTCTATACGTTACTGCACACAGGCCTTTGCAAACACTGAAATAAATATAACAGGTTTTGTAAAGCATGTTTTCCAGGCTTCTTGGAACACCAAACTACAGCAAGTATCTTCAGGACAGCTTCTTTGAAAATAGAGTTGATGAAATCATGCAAAAAGTTGTTGGGGGAAAAAGAGCTTGTTCATTTCCAGAATAGAAAATGGCTCATAAATAATACTGTTTAGTATCTTTTATCATATAAACACATTGGAGTTGTTCATCACCCTGCTAGCGCTCAGCAAGAGCAGCCAACATCCTTCCAGTTTCAAGAACTTGGAAGCAGGTCTGCTGAAGTCAGTGGAGCAATAAAAGTGGAAGCATTGCAGTCTACAGTGCATGTTATGAAATCTCTGACATCTAATTAAGACCTTTTCATCACATTTTTTTTTTTTAAAGGAATTATTCTGGAGTATGTACAAGGTGGTGAGCCAAAGACCAGATCTATAGATCTACTTTATCTTAGACCTGAGTAAGTATGATGTTATTTCAGATAACAGCACTCTCTGCTGTTTTATAGCATGCTCAGATACAACTCTATTTGATTGTTTTAAACATAATTGAGGTCAGCTGTGTCTTTGTGCACTAAAATACATACACAGAAAAGAAAATAACATAATCAAACTATTTTCCCTCTATTTTAAATACAGAATCTTGCATTCTATCTGATTATTACCATCATGCTTTTCTGTTCAGAGGTGAAGCCTTTTTTTTGCTTATAGAAGTATGATTATGAAGGTGCCTGTACAAAGCCAGCAGAAATGTACAGCATTTAACGTTGTAATGTTGTGATGAATGACAGTTAGTTCTTAGGTCCTGTAATAGTATTTCTGGTCTTCAGAATGTTTTTAAAAAGTGGGTCTAACTCAACCCCAGTTACATTGGTTTAAATGACCTCTGTTGAAATCACTGAAAATAACAACTAAATATCAGTTCAGATCTCTCCTGTTACATTAATTAATCCTCATAACAACCACAGGTAAGGTGGTGTAAGATAGGCAAGTAAGTGATTCCCTCCCGTATGTTTGTGTGGAGAAACTGAGTATCTGCTTCTGTTGCAAGTAATGGAAGTTTTCTGGTTTCTTTTGTTGCAAAACTAATTGTAGTTGAGTCCTTTGAAAGAAGAAGTAAGAGTACATAATCTGGTTTTCTAGTCTCCTACAGATGATGAAAGAAATGGCAGGAGCTTGATATGTCTAAAAATCAGGGACTGGCCTAACTGAAGAATAAAAAATACAATGTATTTCAAAGTCAAGTTTAGATTTCAGTTTGATAGGATATCTTCCGGTAAGATAGAGGGCAAGACAAAGGTCACTTCATGAGGAAGCAAGTGAGACTTGCTTGAGACAATCCTCAATCACATCTAGCTCTGGTTTTCAGGCAGTTGGAAGGCACCAGTCTGAAACTCTCTTATGTCTTCCTTGTGAGAAATAGGACAAATTAGTTGTAATGAGAATGTTGACTTGACAAGTTACTATGCTGAATTAGCTGTAATACTGCTACATATAATTTATGCACCAGTGCTTGAGAGGTTATTTGACTGGCTATTTTGTGCATTCAGTGATAGAATATAATGGTGTGTCACAGAATCAGGGGATCATTTAGGTTGGAAGGGACATCTTGAGACCATCTAAAGCAGGGTCAGCTAGAGCAGGTTGACCAGGACCACATGTAGTTGAGTTCTGAATATCTCCCAGATGAGATGAGACTCCACAACCTCCCTGTGAGACCTATCCTGGTGTTTGACCACCCTTACAGCAAAAAAAGTGTATTTTTGTATTCAGATTAAATTTCCTTTTTTTTTTTTTTTTTTCATTTGTGCTTCTTGATGCTTGTCCTCTCAGTGGGCAGTACTGAGAAAAGTCTTGCTCCCTCTGCTTCATTTCCTCCCGTCGGTTATTTGTACACATAAAAAAATATGGAACACTTCACGAATTTGCATGTCATATCTAGTGGATTTTTTTCACAGAACTTTTTGGCTGGCATCAAACACCATGGAAAGATTATCAGGATTTATGTGGCTCTCAAACTGTTTTTTCCGCTTTCCTGCAGCTAATGTCTTCCTCTTGGCACCCAAAAGAAAAATCAAAAAGAAAGCTGAGAGCTTTAATACGGTTTTGGTCATAATAGTCAGCCTGCGTGCTCTACTCAGCCAGCTCTGGTTGGAAGAGCTTCAGAAAGAGGAAAAAAATGCCACCATTAAATAAAGCTGCCAAAATCCACGGAGTTTATTAGGCAGAAGGGCATGAAGTAATATGATTGTCTTAATATCGACATTGATATTGAAGAGTCCTTGCGTGTGGGCCAGAGTCAGTAGACAATGTAGGCTGCACATGCAAGATGAAAAATCCAAATTTATAAATTATTTATTTTTGTCTACCTGGAAATGTCCAGCTCAGTACTCTGAATAAAACCTAACAAGTCACTTTATGAAAGAAATAAGTTGTCTGGTATTACTTAACAGGAGTATAAACACTGAGAGGATACTAATATATGGGGATGTTAGTGACTCCCATTTAGAGGACTGATATAGAAGATCCCCTTTAGACTGCAATAATACATACTGTTACATACTAACAGAAAGGCTAGGTTTTCTTGCTAGGGCCAATTTTAAGTGTATGCTGGTGCTTCAACTGCTGGGTATTGTCAACCCTCAGTTTCTCATGGATGGCCAGGAATCAGACTGCAGACCATGTTTTGGAAGTTATTATAACTAAGAGTTACAGGAACAGGTATAGATTTGTGAAGCCACAGACAGAGATAATTTTAACACTTTCCATATATAATTTATCTTGTTGCTACTTCGTGGACAATTCATTGGGAATTTATGAAATTCCACCTTAATTTAGATATTTATTCCAAAATTTTAGATGCACATCTCCCATGTCTGACCCTCTGTGGAAAGTTCTTGCCAAGCTAAAATTTTTAAAAGTTAAATCTTACTGAACAACTTCAGTAAGAGAGGGAAGTATAGAAACCAAGAAAGATTTATCCATATTTCTTTAAGCCTTTACAGAATAAGATAAGTGCATATCATTGAATTGCTTACTTCAGTTTCTCTGCAAGTAAATGATGTTCTTGCTTTTATAATCATAATTATTGTCAGAGGATGAAATCTGGTGGGTTTGGGGTTTTGTTGTTGTTTTTTCTCATAATTAGCACAGATGCCATAGCCTTAGTAGAAGAAATTAGAAAAGGAGAACCTCTCATCACAGCTTCATGCAAGGAACACGTCATACATTTAGTACGAAGATTGCAAGAGAAGCTAGAGGAAAAAGAGGATCACAAGTTCTATCTTTTTAAGGTCAGAGGCATCTTTAAAATAATTTGGGGGATTTTGGGGGGTTTCAGTTGTGATGTTGCAAGTATGTTTCTACTGTTGCATATTGTGCCTGAGAGCAAAATTTAGATTTTATGACCAATTTCTTCACTCTTTTCAATCACCTCTGCACTGTTTAGAGTGACTGAGTCTGGCCTGGTTATGTCTGCCAGGAATTCCCCCAAAAAGCTGGGAGGTATAACTGTTCCTAGACACTGTTTACGTAGGCTTATGTACAAGGGTGTGTTTTGGATGGAGACATACTTCTCTTATTTGTCAAATAAGACTCTTTGGAAAAACATTACCCATAGTTATGTTTAAACAAAACCTGTAACTAGACCCCAAGTAAATTAGCTGCTGGGAAAGACCCAAAATATTTTCATACCCTTGTCTACTTGTTCTTCATTTTGTGAAAACTCTGTTTATTTTAGGTATTCTGCTACATACAGTAATATTGGTTGTCATTACTTTCTGCCATTACTATTATGTCTGAAAATTGATAATTTGATTTTCAGCTTATGGACAGCACCTTGTAAATTTATTTTAAATGAGTCAGATTTTTAAGAATAATTATTAGAGAGACCTTTCAGGACTTCAAATCCAGGATTCAGTCTATCAGAAGAGAGTAGGTTTAATTGTATTTATTTGTGGAAATAAAAATAAAATTGCTTCCAGAAATTGCATGTTGCAATCTGAAATAATTAAGTGTTGTATCTTTATTGTGTCAGCAGATGGCAATGTGTAGCTGTTAAAAATTGCTGGTCAGTGCTATGTTATTGATTGTTACCTTAAATTTAGAGAGAAAAGGGAGAAATTTTGTGTTGGTTTGTTTGGCTAAAGAAAAATCTTACGTTGCTAGATATAACTTGGGTTCTTTTGACCAACAGTACACATCTGGGTGAATTCTGCAAAGATCTGTGTATATAACCTTGAAAACAGAGCTATTTAATAAGGCACCTTAAATTTAAAAAGTTTCTGTTCTGTTTTAGGGTATGCTCTCAACTGAGATAATGCCTTGCTTTTCACAAGCTTTTAAAATTGCTTGTTCATCACAGAGACTGACAAATCATCAAGTGTTTATTGAAATTTCAGTATAAATAATGTATTTGTTCTTTGTTGGGTATAGTGACACATTTGAGCTTCTGTATTTGGAAATACTAGAAGCAGGCAAATCCAATCAGTGCTGGCTTATTTACTTCACTCAAGAGTAGTTAGAAGTGTGTGAAAAGAACTTGGTTTATATTTGAGTTCCGTTTAATGCTTGTAAATGAGTATCAGGTGCTTCTGAGATACTAATAAAATACAAGAGGTAGGTGGGAGTGAGAATTTTTTTTCCGAACAATGTCCCATCTGTTTGCATTGTTTGGAAATGAATATTTTTTTCCTGTTGCACTGGAGCATAATCTTAAATGAGTGCATAAACCCATCTTTTTGTTATTTCCAGCAATTGTGGTGATAGTGTTCTGTTAGGCACCCTGCAGAGAAACAAGCTTTTGTAACAATTTCTCAGGTTTTAAACTATTACATAGCAATGGTATCCTGTAGTGATTTGCAGATTTTTATTGTAGAAACTGCTGTAGCAGATTTTGCAGAAGTGAGGTACATTTTTTTAATATTGCCTTAGGGTTTGATTGTTGTATCATTTGCACAAGCAGTTCTTACTGGCTTAGAGTTCTGTGGATGAAGCAACTGCAGCACTGGGCATTGGAAGAGCAGAATTAGTCCAGTGATCTGAAATTCAACATAAACCCATATTGTTTTCCTCCCTTTTTTTCATAATTGTTAAATATGTTTGTTATTCAGAGCTGCCTGCATGGAGCCCTAAAAATGTCATGGATCAAATTTCCATAAAGTTCCATAATTATTCATTCTCATATGTGGATATTTGTATACTGTGGCTGTTTTAAAAAAAGCAAAATACTTTTTGTCATTTCCACATCTTGGCTGCCCATTCCCACTGCTGTAGCTGTGAGTACAACTTGTCTTACTTTCTCTAGAGAACAGAAATTGCTGTTTCTCTAACATAAAATACCTGTTCTGTTTCTTTCTCTCTCAGTCCTTCACTTGACTGTTGTTATTTCTCTTCCATTTTGATCAGTCCCTACTCTTCTGAGTAGATGATCTCTGGGCTCCTTTCATTTTCCTTTTGGAGACAGGCAGCTGAGAAAGCTAGAGATAAGTACCAAAAGTTGAGTCTGTGGTAATATGTCAGTGATTAAATGGCATTGCTCATAAATCATTTCTTCTTCATTCTTACACTACAGAGAAGACCTAGTGGACCACTGCTGTATTTTTAACATCCCTTTACTTCACTGTCAGCAATTGCTGTGACTTCCCAGGTTATGATTTTATTATGCTTTAGACTCGAGCAGAAGCCAGCTTGTAATAGGCAAAAGTTGTTCAAATGCAAACCCTGTTATACAGTAACCACCTTATTCAAACACAAACCAGATGATTTTTTTTTTTTTTAGTAATTTTCAAAGTATCATGGCATGCTGACTTTCATTGGCAGTATCTAAAACCATTTTCACCTATGTTTAATAAACCTTAATGTGTATTATTATGGGTATGAGATAATTCACATGAAACACATATACTGTCTGATTAAACGACCTTAGAAGCAATGTTAGAAAAATAGTGACCTCCATAACCTAAACAATACAGGCAGACATCAAATTTGAAATTCCCTCTTTGAATTTTGTCTTGACAAGCATCCTTGTTGTAGTTCTGCATACCTTTTTTGTCATGACCTCATAGGACGTAGATGTAGCTTATTTCTGTTCTTCCTGTTTTTTAAAACAAAATCATAAACTAGCTGAAAGGATCCCATAAGCTGAAAGACTTAAAATACTCAATTCAGCTGGATCACTTGATTCACTATATAAGGTTTAATATTAGCTGGAATTTCTTTCATCAGTGATCTCACCAGGCATGGTCTCCCCACTCATTTGTTTTTGCCCTTTCAGCTCTGGTTTAGGATTACCTTGCTGGTCTCAGAGAAGATGGAGAAAAAGCAAACATGGGGGAAAAGGCAGTTCATTCAAGTAAAATATAAATTTGAAATCAGTAGTATATAATATCTGCAGTGATAACCTGCTGAGACATGGGGGACTTTTTAGTTAGGGATTAATGCATTACAGCTGTAACTGCTAATCTGAGAGGAGAAAATATTAAAATATTATCCTATTGAGCATTTTGAGCAATTGTTTGGGGGTTGGGGTTGCTTCTTTTTTTTTTTTTTTTAATTACATCAAATGTTGCTTTCTTCTTCCCCTGCTTCTATTTCAGGTACTTAGAGCACATATATTGCCACTGACTAATGTAGCATTTAACAAATCTGGTTCCCGGTAAGTCATTTTCGAAGTCAAAATACATAATCACTAATTGAAGTTTTGTATTTGTAAATTAAATTGTAAGGGAATTTCAATGCTCTTATCTTGCTGCAAAAAGAATTCAGCTGTGCTGCTCATAAGCAGTTTCAAGCATGACTGGGGATTGGATTTCAGGCCTCTGGGGGAGAGCCAATGGGAGATGCAAAAAAGTAGCAGGTGAGATTCAATTTATGTAATTTTTTTCTTCCAAGATGATAGTTTGTTGACAATTATCATATTTCAGAAAGAAGCACCTTTATGGCAATAAAGTGAATATTACTAAAAGATAAATGAGTCTTTGACATAAATTCATTTGGGACTTTCACTGCAGTGGAATTTCGTGTTAATTCATTTCACTGTGGGCATACGCCTAATCATTTTTTCCTTCATGTCTTGAAAGCAGCAGCTTGCTTTTTAGTTGAAATACATTAAAGATTAGAAACAAGGTTTTTTTAATGAATAATATTTAAATTAAAAAAGGAACCTCTGTGGTCATTAATCTATATTTTTGAAAGAAACAAGAGATTTAGGGTCTGAGACAGTGCTAACTGAAATCTGTGGAAATAACTCATTTGATTATGCACCAGGACCAGCAAGATATTTACTGTATTCAAAAACTAATTTCTCTTTGCTTTAGCTTTATCACTGGAAGCTATGACAGAACCTGCAAAGTATGGGATACTGCATCAGGAGAAGAGCTACATACGTTGGAAGGACACAGAAATGTTGTCTATGCAATAGCTTTCAATAATCCCTATGGGTAAATATATTTTCTCTGAGATACATCATAATTGCTTATCATGTTATTTTGCGAATACAGAACTGTTACTCAAACTTTAACATAAAATAGACTATCTCAAATTGAAAGAGTTCAAATTCTGAATTTGCAAAGTTCAACTATAGCTAATGACCGTGGGACGACATTGCATATTATTTGTATAAGAGAGACATTCAGACATGTTTTCTGCTATAATTTTTTAAAATGAAATTTAGAAATTCAAAGCATAAATTTCATTAGGTACTCAGTGCCTTGAAAAATACATATATGAGTCAGTTTAATATATTGAAACACAGATTTATTTCAATAATATCTACATAATCAGATTGTGGTCTGAATGTTAATCGTTCTTTACTGTCTCCATGTAATTGTATATGATGTGAGATATAAGTACTTATGACAGCTTGAGTTGCTTCAATTAAGGAGAAAGAATGTTTCTGTCATAATAAAAGTGGATTTCTCCATTTGGTGTTACACATTCATTATTATTTAGGGTGTGCTTTAGAAGTGTCAGAGCTGTTGAGTAATTTTTATAAAATCCACAGGGTGCCGCTGTATGAATGTCAAATATGAATCCGTGCATCTTTATTTCTGCAATAACTGTTTGCCCTAGGTTAGAATTGCCACCTGTTAGGTGAAGGGAATTACATGTTAGCTACTGAAGTTTCATTGTCATTTGCTTCCTGAGGAAGCTGTCGTGTGTAAGTAAACCATTTTGCTTCTTTGCAAAATAAGAGAAATTAATTCCTATTTTTATGTTGAATCACATTACTTCTTTCACTGTCAGATGACCTGTTTATCAGTTAAGCAATAAACAGTTAACATCAGGAAATAAATGTTAAAGACTTTTTCTTAGGCTATTTGGAGCATCGTCATTTCCTTCTAAATGAAAAGTCTTTATCCAACCTAGAATCCACTATATTAATGATGTCTTATATTCTGATATTAGTCTTTACTTTAAAAAAACGATTAATGAAACTCTTTTATGTACTTTGAGGAAACTAATGTATGACAAAAATCTGTGCAAAGATCAATAACTAGACTGTAACGTAAAAGTGGAAAAGCAATATATAGCAAGCAAAAATCTGATGAGAACGTTGAGCTACTTTTAAATTAAAAGTTCAGTAAAAAAATAATGTTGTTTTTCCTGCTAATCTTTAGGTTTCAATAAAGTGTCCCTTCCTACATTTTCTGGGTAACTCACTTCAGTCTTGCTCTAGCTGCAGTTGGTCACAATGCTTCCACTGACTTCAGTGGGAGTGGAATTTGACCTCTGAAATTTGGGTAAACTACTTATAAGAAGAGTTTATACCTGTTGATAAACAAACAGATGCTATCTGATTAAATGATCTAACTTTTAAATACATCTGGAAGTACAGCAGATAACCTAATCCGTAATGTAGGTTAGTCATCAGCTATGAACACTTCTGTCCTAATAGATAGGCATAGTAGCTGTTTTAGAAACTAATTATGTCTGCTAATTTTTTCCTTTAATGTAACTTCTGTCTGTGAAATACTGCTCCAGGATCTTGTACTGCGGCAGAATGCGCTAAAATGCACACAAGCTTCGACAACTGAGTATTGTTTCTGTGAGTTCTACTGTCTTTGAAGTCAGAAGGTTTTTTCTAAATAAAAATGACAGGGTTTTTTTCCATTTAGTGACAAGATTGCCACTGGATCGTTTGATAAAACCTGCAGACTGTGGAGTACAGAAACCGGAAAATGTTACCATACTTTCAGAGGACATAGTGCAGAAATAGTAAGTACTGATGGATGTTTCTTATTCCTTTATGCTTTCACACACCATCATTGATGGCTGTGGGTTCCAAGTCCCTGTGAGCTGACATTGGAAGGGGCAGCTATTCTGCAGCATCTGTTCATACATTCAGACATTGTGAACATTTCTGCACTGCAAGAAAAGATAGTCTGACGGTTCTTAAGAAATAGAAAACATTGTATACAGTTTGAAAAGACATTTTTATTTTTAGTTTGTTCCTATTACCCTTGTTTCAAAAATGTTTTAACTTTTTTGAAAAATACCATAACAATCAGAATTTTTGATTTATTGCACATATTTAGTCTTTGATTTGTTTATATATCCCATTTTTTTCTAGATATCTTGCATTGCCTCTCATATTTGCAGAACTAAATACACAAGAACATCATTGCTTGTATTGCTGTCTTTCATGCTGAGATCTGTACTTCATGTACAGGACCAACTGGAGCCATAGAAGAATGAATTTCTGAAATGTTAAGTGTGTTAACTGGGAATATGTGGGATGCTGAAATGTCAAAGATATGTGAAACGAAAACAGTTCAAGCTTAAAAATGGTTGGTTTCCTTTCCAATGCACTAGGAGCCCTATTAGCAATAGCAAATCATAGAATCACTTGGGTTGGAAAAGACCTTTAAGATCATCAAGTCCAACCGTTAACCTATCACTGACAAGTCCACCACTAAACCGTGTCTCTAAGCACCACATCTACCCATCCTTTAAATACCTCCAGAGGTGGGGACTCAACCACTTCCCTGGGCAGCCTGGTCCAATGCCTGACTACCCTTTCGGTGAAGAAGTTTTTCCTAATACCCAACTTAAACTTCCCCCGGTGCAGCTTGAGGCCGTCTCCTCTCGTCCTATCACTTGTTACTTGGCAGAAGAGACCGATCCCCACCTCGCTACAACCTCCTTTCAGGTAGTTGTAGAGAGCAATAAGGTCTCCCCTCAGCCTCCTCTTCTCCAGACTAAACAACCCCAGCTCCCTCAGCCATTTCTCCTAAGACTTGTGCTCTAGACCCTTCACCAGCTTCGTTGCCCTTCCTTGAACACGCTCCAGCACCTCGATGTCCTTCTTGTAGTGAGGGGCCCAAACCTGAACACCGTATTTGAGGTGCAGCCTCGCCAGTGCCAAGTGCAGGGGGGCGATCACTTCCCTAGTCCTGCTGGCCACACTGTTCCTGATGCAAGCCAGGATGCTATTGGCCTCAATGCCTTGATGCACAGCACTCTGATTTAAAAGATGGGGGCAAGTCCACTTAAACTCTTAATTTCAATGCAGAATATATTTTTTAACAAAAACAGCTATACAATCATTATTCAATAAAGGATTTCTGGAAATTGTTTCTGGAAGCAATTGAAACTTAATTTGTAGATTCTGAGGCCTATACCTTATTGAGACAGGCTGCAGTGATTTTGCTTCCACAAATCAGTTAGCTAAATATTTAAAGGCCTCTCAATTTCTTCTGACTTCTATAGGGGTTAGATTAGACCCAAAGTGTTATGAGTTGTGCTAACCAGTAATTAGTAGAAGATAATAGCCGGCAGAAAATGATGTGTTTCTCTGAATGAGACCTGTTTCTGAAAGGCCATTATTACATATGATACATTGCTGGCAAGCGCATGTCCATAGGTATTCAGTATAAAAAAATAGAAAAAAGAAAAATAAATGGACATAGTGAAAATGCACCAGTGACATGAGCTACTGTTTTCCTTTTCACATGGTACCTCTTATTCTTTACTAGCAAAACAATCATACTGAGTAATTACAGAGAATGGGAAGATGACTACGTGATTTTTTTCAATGTGAAAAATGAATTATGGAAGTTGTTGAGCTTTTGTTCTTGCTTTTTCATAAATAGATATTATGTTGTGGGGACGCCCATGGCAAATGGCCTACATAATGACACGTGTTAAGATAAGAGTGTGAGTGTACAGAGTGTGTTTGTGGGGACACAAAACTGTCTGGAGGGTCTTTGCCCCAAACTGATCAAGTTAAAGAGGAAGCCTACCAAATGAGAGCGTTAGGGAGTACTGTCAGTAGGATTGAAGAGTAACTGGAGAACCTCAAAGAGCATTTTGAAATAAAGAAGTAGAAAAGCCCAAAAAGAAGTGTAAAAGAATCAAAATAATTTATAACAGGGCGGGGGAGACATTAGTCTGGAAGCAGCAGTTGTCAAAACCTGCTTTGGTGCTTCCAGAAGTCACCCTGGGCATCACAGTCTCTGCTTAGACCAGCAAGCGTAGCCTTCCTCTTGGAGTCACCATGAGGAGTCTGCATCCGGCAAGTGGATTGTCAGTACGGGGTTCAAGAAGAAGGCCCCTTTGTCCCTCCCATAAGATGTGCATGAGTGAGTTTGGATGCCTTCTCTCTGGTGTGCGGATCAGCAGATTGTAGGAAGTGGCGTGGGTTCAACTAAAGCTAGAGCACTCGTGTCTCCTAGGGGAGGTGTGTGCAAGTAAGGGAACACATAGCCCAGGAAAGGGAGGGGGGTGTGCTTGTAACCCACTCATCTTGTGAGAGGGGGTGAGTGTGCATGCAAGAGCGTGCAAGTGTGTGTGTGTGATTAAAACATGTTGGAGTTATAGGAGGAGGTTTAGAAATTTGTAGCTGTTTATTAAGATTGCATAAGTTTATCTATTGTATTACAGATACTGGTACTGAATATGTAGTTCTCTGCCAGTTATGCACTGTTAATAAATTAACAAACTGCTTCAGTCTTGATTTTGATTAAAATTTTGTGAACTAAATAATTTCTCCCTGTGACACAAAATGAAGCACCTAAATAGTGAATTTTAATCCAGGCTCAGAAAATAATACAGGAAATCTTCCAATAAGTCTTTTTGATGCACTGCCATTGCAAAGCAGTCAATTAGTCCATTTGATTGGAGTAGTCAGCCAGAGCTATGTGATAAGGATTTGTTGCTCTTCTAGTGAACTGTTGGAAGAACTCTGCAATTTTTCTGTATGCCATAAAATATTAAGTCAGTCTTTTGTCTTTTTTAAAAATATTAATTCTGACCTATTGTTTTTGAGAAAATGTATATAAATACTCTCTTTTCCCACTTCTTCCATATGTTTCTTGCTACAGGTGTGTTTATCATTTAATCTTCAGAGCACATTGGTGGCAACTGGCAGCATGGATACCACCGCCAAATTATGGGATATAGAGAAAGGAGAAGAAATAGTCACTTTAAGTGTATGTTTGCCTTCCTTATGTTTTTAAAGGTGTTCCTTGCTTTCTTAGTTTTCTAACTGAGATAAATAGCAGTATAACCACTACCACAGTCTCAAAACTTGCAGAGTTTCTGTTACCAGGGGGGTCCCACAGTGACTGCAGTTACAAAACAGATTAAGAAAACTTGAAGGGAATGCTAAAGCTATAGTGTTTCATAAGAAGTCCTATTTATCAAAAGATGGATTTTCTCATTTCAGTGACATTACTGGTATAGATCAGAATGTCTTCCATCGCTCATTAAAATGCACTGCTATCCTGTAAATTATGGCCTCCTCTGCATTAACATGAAGTAACTCTGAGAACATTAATGTCAGACACTACATCTGTATGGATCTTCTTCCTGTAAAATCAGCAGAGGAAACTCATCCAATTACCTCTAGATTGTGATGTCTCTTTGCTCTACGTGCCTTGCCGGGTTTCCACAGGTTCAGATAGGCCTGGTTTTTTTCAATGCATTTCTCTCACATAAATCCTAAATAACAGGTAGTCCGTAAGCTTCCTTTGCTGTATGTGACCTATAGAGTGGGGAAGACACTTTTTCCTCCTTGACTTTCTCTTTCTTAGAGCCCTGAGCAGACCAAAGAGCAGTGGAATGTGTTATCCTTTAGCTTATAAGTATGCCTATATTCATTTTTCCAAGCCTCTCCACCAACACCACTGACAAGCTGTACTGTAGTTTACTGTAAATGAATCATCTGATTTCAGTATGTATTGGTGAACAAATGTGATTCTGTTTAAATCAAATGTGATTCTGTTTAAATCAAATATGAAAAATATGCACTGATGACATCACTGGACAATTGGTTACTGCTTAAGTGATGTGCTTGATTTTTTGCTGTTGTTGGGATTTTGACTATTCCACAGTCCAGCAGATCTTTCTGTCAAAATTGTGATATACTGGACAAGACAGTAAATAATATATTGAAGGGTTATAGAAGGATTATGCTGCTGAAAAAAAGCTACATATTGAATTACATTAATGGAAAAGTCATAATTTGCTTTCTCATGCTCCTTTTTTAAAATTCTCTCAGGGGCACTCAGCAGAAATTGTTGCTTTGTCTTTCAACACCACTGGAGACAGGATTATCACTGGCTCCTTTGACCATACAGTAGCAGTGTGGGATGTTGGCACAGGCAGGTACTAAAGTACTAATAAATATCATTTTACATTGCATGTTGTAATGACAAATGAAAGAGACAATGTTGAGCTACAAATTACAGAGCTTGTATTTTTGCTTCATTTAGAGTATGCGTTCCTTCATCTTATAGTTTGTTACTCCTGTTCCCTTTGTTTTTCTGAAAAGGAATGCTGCTCACAAAATGCTTTTGTATATGTTTTTTGTTCCAAATTTCCATCTTATTAGCACTGAGGAGGCAGACAGAATGGACTGATCCTGTGTTTGTGGCTGATGAATTCTCCAAACAGGAGAATGTTTTATCAGCGTGGAAACTCGTGGTTTGGAAAGTGTCTAGAGTTTCTAGATGGAACAGACTATTTAAGTAGAAAGTATATGTTATGTCATAAAAAATTAGTCCAGTCACATTGTCTTTATAAACCATAGAGGGTCTGTTTTCCTTCTCACAGTCCTTTATGTCAGTATAAATTTACAAAGAGGAGAAAATTTGGCCTCTCTGACTGCAGAGAATAAAATGTCTAGATTATGATGCCAACAAATAATAATGTAGTAGCTAGATATGAACTTCTTGTATTATCATGACAAATCCACTTGTTTTTTCAACTGGAAACTCGGTATAAGTAGAATAATAAAACAATTGCCCTGATTACTGACAAAGTAATTTATGAAGATAATGATTCTATTATGTTTTCAGAGGTCATGTCTTTTTTCTTTTTGTGAGAGCAAAGGCAATATCTCTGAAATTTATATATAAAAGGAAAGTGTGTGTATAGTGACATCTTGGGGTAGTAAACAATGTGTGTATCTTCAGAATGAGAGTAATCATGATTTTAAAAAATAACATACACATAGTACATCATTTAAGGCTTGATCCTGTAAGTTTTCAGCTTATTCAACACCAGCAGTTTAATGTTTGGCATGTAAATACTTAGGACACACTCATTCAGCAAATTGGACCTTTGGATTCAACTTCATTCAGCCTGGTGTTCTTGCAAGTATTATTTTTATAAACCATCTTCTTCTTCCAGCTTCTTGTCTGAGCCTGCAGTGAAGTAAAAGTCTTGGGATTTTCATGTTGCATTCTTTTTTTCTAAGAAATGAATGTGGACTTCACATCAGGGAAAATACCAGGAAGTGGAATACGAAGAGAAAATTCTCATTTAAACGCTGGCAGCTCTGGTAATTAGCTAGTGGGCAATATAATTGTGCCAGGGCCAGCATTCAGCCTTTTAGATGGCAGCTGGGCATGTATACATTTAGTAATAATGAAAAGTTGCAGTCAGAAAGACTGCGAGCAAATCATAGTCTTCTGTATACAGGTTCAGGTAGATTTGTAAAAATCTTGTAGGTGAGGTTGTGTGTGCCCATCTTTCACCATATGAAATACATGAGAAACACTGCTTTCCAAATTTGAGTTTGAACTTGAAGTTTCTTTTAATTTTGCTGTCTTCCTCTGATGAGTGCCTGTGCTGCTTAGTTTTATTCTGGATAGGTATCCAGAATTATCCTGAGGGAAGTTGATGTAGCAACAAGAAATCTCAAGAAGGTTCAAGATTTTCTTCATAAGATGTTAAAATAAAAAAAAAGGGGGGGACAACATGCTTTTATAATACAGGTCTGTATTTCCTCAATAATTTCTCAATGTCAGATACAGCCAGCCAGCCGTAGTTCAGTTGAAGGTGTCTTCAGAGCTTCATTTGACAAATTAACAGCCTGTAACTGGGATCAGGAGTGCGGGACACCAGGATGCTAAGAGAGAGAGACAGTTTCTTCTTATTTGCAATTATGGTGTAAATATTAGAGCATCCATATATTAAATTTCATTGGAAACTAAAGGCTAAAGAAGTATTATCATGACTGAAGCCGATTTTTTTTTTTTTAATAATTTAAATGGAAATTTTTTATGGCATTTCACAAGCCTGTTTTCTGGGTTGTTTCTAATTGTGTACCTGATCGATTGTGGTTTCTGTGAGATGTTCCACATGTTACTATTTATTCTGTTTATTGATCAGATATTTATGTTGAAGCTTGAAGCCTGGACTGCCTTTTCAAAATTTGGAAATTAAAGCTTTTAAATTTTAAATTAAAACTTTTTTCAATATTAGGTATTTTAGGTATTAGGTATTACAATAACAGCAGTCTTGATGGCCAAATAATAGTTCACAAAAAGAAGTTTTCCGCTGTTGTTTTCAGCTTGTTGATTTTTGTTTTTACTGTTAAAAGGTCTACACAATTACAACAGTGCAGGCCTCACATTGTTAGAAAGGAAAAGGAGTAATTCTACAAAATGACATGAGTATAACCAAGTTTTTGTTATCATAAGCAAATAGAAAATTCAATTGCTCAGGAGATTTGCTTTGCTGTTCATTTAGCGTATATATTAATTTAGCTACCCTTATGTATCTTATGCAATGAATAAAAAGATTTCAGTTACTTAAACTCATTTAGTTGATTTTCTAGTCGTTAGTTTATCCATTAGTTAAAACAGTTTTCTATTAATGATACAGTGATATTAGCATTGTGATAATAACCTAATTTACTAATCCTTTAATATATATATCAATTAATCTTTTTTAGGGTTCATTGCTTTACAGGCCATTAATTCATAGGAAGCGATAATGGCTAATTGTACCCTCTCTATTCAGCTAAAGCTGAAGAATTTAATGGAATTAATATTGTCAGTCTTTGTGCAGCAAGAAGTTTAGGATTAATGAGGATTAGAAATCATATTTCAGTTTGGTCGTCCTTTGCCTGTTACTTGGGAACACGCTAACATTAAGTACCGATTAAGTTCCATTTGATCTTCAGCAGATTTTATAAAAGGTTTAGATTATATGGAGTTTTAAAGATTTACTGTTTACAGTTCATTGAAGTGGGATAATGCCAGAGTAATGCGGAAAAACTTGCTGTATATGCTTTGTATGTAGATGAATACAAGTAAGCTGTCTCTGGCACTGGAAACTCATCACATTTCACTGGAAATACATTCACTAAAACATTTTTGAAAGAGAAGGGAGGACTTTTCCAATTTATTCCTTACTGCCTCTTTGTCTCAACAATAAAAAATGGAATTGATGTAGTACTAGAATCGTAAATGAGCTGTACCACTCCATTTAATTGCTTTAATGGATGAAATGGTGAAGACTTGACACCTTAACTATACCATTTTATAAACTTACTTATAATTTATATGCATATATCAAAATACACACTAAAAATGTAAACTCTCTTTTTTGTAGGATGTTACATACTTTAATAGGTCACCGAGGAGAGATTAGCAGTGCACAGTTCAACTGGGACTGTTCTCTCATTGTCACTGGGTCAATGGACAAAACATGCATGGTAAGAAACTTGAGTATGTACTGAATACAGCTACTTGATATATAAAAATACAGCTACTTGATATACAAAAATATATCTTTTGTAAATGGAGGAGAATTATTTTAAATGTAGTACATGTAATTCCTTAAAGAATTTACAACTAAGCGTAAAACCTATAAGCTAACCTATAAGCTTATTAATTTCCGTGAAGTCCTGTTAAATAATAATATATATATATATTTTAAGGCTCATTTAATCAATACACTGAAATAAAAAAAATATATAGGACTTCATTAAACTGACTAAACAGTGACTCTTTATTGAGTTATATCCAGGTTTCAGGTTAATACCTTCAGTCAGACATCAGAAAGGGCCTATACATGTTGCTTTATGGATCAACTAGATATCTGTCAAGTAAATTAGTCAAAATAAGCAAAAAAATTACCCTTATTTATCTATGCAGCTGTGGAATGCTATGACTGGGACACATGTAGCAACTTTAACAGGTCACAGTGATGAAATATTGGATGTCTGCTTTGATTATGCTGGCCAGCGTATTGCAACTGCCTCTGCTGATGGTAAGTGGAGTGACTGGGAGTGCTATAAGAATTGTGATAGTAGCATAAAACAACTTTTTCCTTTGGTTTTGCTTTGAATGTAGCTTAATGGAAGTGGAGTATCGTGACTCGAAACTGTGGGTCAGGCAATGTTTGTTGCATTATAGAAAGTTTGGCATTAACTTAAAAAGTTTTCCCCAGTGAAAATTTTCCTATTTTTCTCACTTTAATCAACTCAATATGTCTTTCCCCTTTAACTTCAAACTTGTAGG